CACACGCATACACCTCCATTACTCTCTGCCTCTGATTAATGACCTTAAATTGAGCCAATGACTGTCATTATTTAAGACTTTCCATTGTGTGATATGTAAGAGCATGACTAGGAATATCCGAAAACAATTGTTCGCTCACCGACTCGTTTTCTCAGTGTTCATACAGTCCTTGTGTAGTTATGCAGTGATTAAGGTATATACCATCAGCGAGAAAAAGATTAGTGATCACTGTTCTCGTCGAACAGTACAGGTGTTGCTTTCAACGACACACCACTCCCGTCCTATCACCAATAGTGCATATCTTCCGGCACTCCAGTTGAGCACCACTTCTTTTCCCTCGGACTACCATCCGCCTATGGTGCATCAAATAATAAGAGGGATATTTTTCGATTTACATTTCTGTCTAATTCAATCCACAAATGGCGTCCACCGGAGATAGTTTGGTAGTAAACTCTTGTCGTTAATAGACGGAAGTCAGGATAGAGCGAGCGATGAATCGCACAATCAGGAAAACCTGCTACGGGTTATGGACCAGCTTAAGGTCCCATCTTGGAATTATAATCGGCAAAAGTCTCGCTCAGTTTGTCCGATTGTTCCGAACCACATCGAATCAGCTGATCGCCATTATCCAGGTCGCCTTTGCTACAATTGTGCGATGTTTCACTTTATATGTGGGGAGAGAGCTTTCTCCTAGTGTGGTGTACTACTAAATAGGTAGAGTGACCTTGTTGCCGACTATGGTTTGTAACGAAATTGCCTGCAATTAAAAACATCCTGCAACTACTCGTATACATTTGGTGCACAAAACAGGTCGTTGAAAAAAGTTAGCATTCGTTTACAGCCGATCGTTATCATCATATTTTTCGACCATGACGAGGCTGCAATTTAATGCAATGTGGTGGTTTGAGTGGCTGACACCTCGAGTTATACCAGGTGGCTTTTACAATGAAAGATCCCATCAGATGCAGAAAGCCAATGGGTAGAGACCAGAAACAAATCAGTGTCACAAGATCAGCTGATTACTAACCTCCTGGCTCCCTCTGATCCATTCAGTTGTCCCTGATTAGCCCAATTTGCAAATGCTGCAGCTGTCCGACTGTTGCTGCCGTATATTGCAGAAATATGGGAATAGCATGAACGCAAGCTACCACTGTTCAAACACCGCATTGTACGAGTCTTGTGAGAAATCCAGATAAGAAATACCGTAATTCCTGGGTTGACTGATGCATGCTATCTACAATGCCGATGATAAGGACCTGACACCCACAGCTTCTCCCTTCGTTACTCAGCTTCTTTGCATCGATTCTCATTCTTATCGTAGCAAGCGAATGCGTCCAGATGTAGTATCAATCTTAGGTGAAATATTGGTTATTCTCTGTACCCGAGTGTTGCTTTTAGACACATCTTCAGTTGCTTTTCAAGTCTAATAGTGTAAAGCCAGGTGCATCCAGTTAAAAAGAAATATTGTAAAACCTAACTGAATCTTCGTTTTAATCGAACATATTCACTGGGTTATGAAAGTGCCTAGGCTGAACCCCATCCTGCAAGGAATCTTGTTTGAGCATGGTGATCGATTTAGTGGTCCACTCTATGTAACTCGCTTTCTCACCGTACCAACGGAGGTCAGTTATGACCAGTTTCGTTCATTCGTGTATTGAAATCTCATCAGATCACCGGTCATACTTATCAAGTTTCATGAGGAACAAAAAGTCAGATCCTACTCCATCGAAACCTTCATCCTCACTCCGTAACTACTTCTGTTTGTTTACGGAGAGATCGCTGCATTCCGACCAAATGGGCGTTGTAGTAGACCTGGGCCATTAAATAACGTGTGAAGACCAAAGCTCCAATCATTAGGGCGTGATTTCTTTCTTTCACTTCAAGTCACATCGGATTCATGTGAAGCAAAAACCTTTGTGGTGACCGATAAAGTGCCCTGGACAGCTATTTCGTCTTGTTTGGAACTCGTCAATAGTGTCGAGACTCGAACCGCGAATTTTCAGGTAGAATCCGAATTTCTTATCTCTGAGCTACACGGTTGATTTTAACAAAGATCTCTGTTGCACTTGGATGCATCTAACTGGTGATGAACTAGCGATCTCCCATGGCATGAAACCCACGCCCAAAGACCATCAACAGTGTCTGGCGCCTACGGACACATGTAGGTCAATCCAGTCATGATTACTAAAATTAAATGGATTCTATGAAAGTTACGGTAGATTCGCTGAATGCTAAAACGGTTGTACCTGAAGTTAAAAAGGTATAGATCAAATGTTTGATCTCTATGGATTGTGTTACTACCAAATACCCTTCTTTGGCGTGCGATATTTTCAGAGGCAGGTAGTGGGTGGAAAACGGTCAAGGGTGATCAATCGAAGAGTTGGCGTGACTGTGTCCACCTCCGTATCACACACTGACAAGCTTGCTTTCCAAGGTGTCTCCTTTACTCGATTGTAGATTTTGTGTACGTTATTTCCATGATGGTCACATTTTTTCATCCAACTCATGTTTTTTGTCTTTTTTTCGGGGCGGGTGTTGCTGGTATCGCTGTTCAGCCGGATGATGACGGACCAATATGGCACGTGCTGAAAGCGGCCGACGCTTTGGACTATTTGCCCAATTTTCGATACCATCGAATCACCTGTTCACAACTGAACCAGCTCACAGACGATGATTTACAACGGGTCAGTCTCGGGTACAATGTTTTCATTCTTTTCCCTTAATCCCTCCGTATCGGAAAATGTGATCGGACTGAGGTTGTTATCCCCATTTCATTCCTGTCTTCACCTCATTATTGTAATATGATTTTGATTGGGGGAAGTGGAGACTTGTGTAAGCTCTCTTAACCGACACCTCAGCTCACGAGTACGTGTGAATTGAAATCGAGTCTAGCTGATTCAACTTGATCTGTTTGCTTACCAGTGTGTGTGTGTGTGTGCAAGACCTGAATTGGTGCGAAGCGTCCCACTCTAGTTCCCCCTTACGCTTCCGAACCAAATGAGCCGACGCATTACTAGTGTGGCCGAAATTGGAATCAATGTACTGATTCTAATCAGCTCTGGTGTAACATGGTGACCTGGTGTAATAATCTAGGCCAAACAACCGGCGAATGTGCACTACGGATGAGTTCTGCCAAGAGTTAAATCTTAGTCCAGTTTTTCCTGACTAAATGGTTGACTGAATGAATTGATTTTTATTCGTAGAAGGAAACTCTGACAAACGGCCACTTAATAACCATATGTCGTCTACTCGTAGCAAACATCTCATGTTTTGTCTACTTGTCGGCTATGGACCAAATGTATCAATATTTCAATGCAAACACCTGCACATAGTTACTTTTTGATGTCACTGCACCAGAAGCGTTCGCATCAGCGGTCTTTGAGCTTGGTAAGAAATGAAGATCTTTAGTTGTGTGGAAAGTACCAGGAATGTTCCATTAATAACTCTTCAACAAAAAATAATATGAATAGAAGTAGACTACTGTTAACCTTCATCTACGCTTCTTGTTGTACACTCGGTCATGGTTTATCTAACGCTCATCCTATTGTTTCCAGATTGGTGTTCACTCTGTGGGAACCCGTTTGGCCATTCTCAACCAAATCTCGGAATCTGTGACTGAACAGATAAAATTCACGGTAAGTACAAACAG